CATTTGGCTACAGTGTTCACCAAGGCCATCTTACTGGCCATAGTACATTGACATTTTTAGCGATAAAATTTGCAGATTCTTAGAGACTTTTTTTTCTTTTGCATTCTAAGTACTGTGAAATTAATTCTATAATATATTTTGGTCTGGATACATAGACTGACCTGGGAATAGAGGTTTTATGAGATCATTTTCTTGCTCTAATGGGCTTTGAAAATTTTACTTCAGGTAGCAGGAGATGCAATCTAATGGGATCCTACAATCTAACAACTGTGATAAACATATAAGAATGTCTCACCTAGTTTCTCTTGAGGGAACCAACATTTCTGAAAAAGAGTGTGGAAGCAGTGGTGCCCAGGGAATCTTCTGAAGGTACTGAGGACAGGGTAGACATTCAACATCCTTGTGGATTGGGATACTGCCTGCATGCTTAGAAACATTAAGGTCTGATTTTCAATATCACTCTGTGTGAAAAGGATAATATTCTTTCTTTCCACAGTCTTTTTCAGCAGGCAGTTCCAATACAAACTGTGTCTTATATTGTCTTTCTAGGTGTGGGATAAGGTCTCATCTATTACAGAGCAACAAAATTGAACGAAATATTGCTGGGAGGTTCAACCTCTACTGCCATTCCACCAACAATCATCTCACATGCTGTGGGCAAACATAATAAAATAGGAGGCATTACTTTTGCAACATCTCTAATATAAAGATGACAGTGATTAATTACAGAATTTCTCCAGAAATGTGGCCACAAAATCTGTCTTAATGCAAGTTAAAAGACTACTATTCTCACCATTGGCATAGAGAATTGGAGATTTTGTTCTCCCAATCTCTATTTTTTTTTTTCCTTCAGTTTATGAATGCATTTTTTTCTATTCAGTTACTTCGTCTTTCAGCCATATAAATCTTATGTATTTAATGCAAAAGAGGCACAGTTTCCATAACAAATTTGCATATGCTTGTTCACAGAAGTAAAGTAGGATAACATTCTCCTGCAGGAGGTGTATAAGAAGTGAATAAAATATATATAATATGATTTCTTTTGTCAAATACGCACACTTATTCAGCAGTTCAAATGTACACTAACTTTGTGTATTTATGTTTTTATTCTTAAAGGAAACAAAAAGAAAAACATTATGCAGTGAAGATACATTCATTTTTATCCTTTTATAATAATGTTTACCATCCTTAAATGTAAATTAGTGATTTACATCTATATACTTATATTCAAGTCACAATGGGAAAGGAGTTAAGACTGCTGTTTTTCTTCTAATTCTTTTGGTGTAATCTATAGCTGCTACAATCAGACAGATGTTACACTCAATATCACTGTTTTGATACTCCTGCCTAAATTTACAGAAAGCAGAAATAATCAAGTATGGATTTCCCAATTCATTTCATTTATGCATTGAGGAAAATGCCAGTTTAAAAACTAGGTCTAAAAATTTGTGGTGGTACCAATGGGAAGGACTGTAAAAAGTCCTGTAGAAAGTAGTCAAGTTTCTTGTAAGGTAAATCTAGTTGCTGGAGGCCTGTGCAGATAAAATGAACTATGCTAAGTGTACAGAATATTTATATGTTCAGAGAGCATAATGCAGATTCTGTTGGGAAGATCATGACTGGTTTTATTGCATCTATTCAGCTTGCAGACAGGCCTACCTTTCATCAGTTTAGAAAATGTTATGCCAGGTAATGTGTGTAAGACCAGTAAAGACTCAAGATCATAAATCATTGATAAAATAGAGGTTTTGTATTTGCAGAGTAACAAAGATCTTTATTGGGAGCTTTAATGGAGGCAGAGATTCACTGAGTTGTACACATAAATAAATAATGTCCCTATGTCAGTACATTTTCTTCTACTTTCTCTACCTTAATTAAGTCCCAGACTTAATTAAAACAGTGATTAAAACATCTGTATCTGCATATGCAAGCATAAGATATACCATACTTCTAAAGAGCAGAAACACATGCCGGTCATATTTTTGTAAACCTTTTGTTTTCCTTTCGAGCCAGACAAGGCTGTGTTTCATCTTAACGATGCGCACAGACTGTACCTCAGAAGTGCTATTTCCTGGGTCCAAGGGGAGTGTGAGTGGGTGTTTCTGAAAGCTGTGCGTATGGAGTATGTGCTTGTTTTCCTTGTAAGGAGCACAGTATTTCTTTCTCGTTCTTGGATACATTGCTACAGATATGTAAAAACAGGACTGGAACTTTCAGTTTCGGGCGGTGTATTTGCCCCATACATCTGTTTGATTGTTTTTTAAAATGACCACTTTAATTTAATGTTTCATGTCCATCTGCTAATGTTTGTCTTCAAGCTACTGCATTCAGTTATTTGAGACACTGCCTTGCTGCAGAAATGAGGTCAGTTTGGTACCACTGACGTCAATGGGAACTATGTCCATAATTTCCAAGGAAAGGGATCTAGGAACTACTATTGAAGCAGTATTGAATACCAAATAATGTTCCTCAGCAAGGCAATGTAATTCTTCTCTTTCTGCTCGTTCTTTTTTGTTTCTTTTGCTGTTGGCCTGGCTTTTATCCTCTCATTTTCATAATCATGTGAAGCCAAAGTAATCTAAGGTATAAGGCTGCCAAACCAGCTTTGGATTTCTGTGACTGTTGTGACTCTTACGATTTGAGTGCAACAGTGAGGGCCAGATTAGCTCATTCTTACCAGCTGAGATGCTGGGCGGCTCATTAATTTGGCTGATCTGCCTCCTATTTAGCCTCAGATGTTCCTGTATAAAGACACGTCTGCTTGCATCATGGCAGGTATCCATTCACTCATTAATTGCTTTATTTTCTTTTCATATCCATTCTGCCACAGGTCACACTCCTTGTTTCCAATACAAATGTGAAGTGAAAAAATCACATAACCACTCTGTAAGAAAATGTGTGATCAAATGCTGAGAGAGTAGGAAAGAAGCGACCTAGAAGAAGCAGTTAAAAAGCAGTCCTCCACTCAGAGAAGTAAAGAAAAGCTGTCAGGGTGCACAGCTGGCAAAACTGTGGAGAGAAAAGGGGAGCCAGATATAAAATATTAACCTCCACGCTGTAAGTCTGCAGTTGAGAAATGCAAGTGATTTTGAAGTGGCTGAACAAAAGTGATAGAGAAATAAAAATAATTAAGCGGTAAATTCATACAGGCAACCTAGAAAACCATAGTCAGGAACAATGGAAACAAATGATAAGCAGAAACAAGCAAAATACACTAAACGTTCCTATCTGGAAGCCAGGACAAATGGCCAGGATAACGACTTGACTCACTTTCAAACATTTTAAAGAAGGAGAAGGACAACAGGAATAGTGAGGGAAACAAGAAAATCGGAGTAGCAATGAAAAGCTTCTATGGAACAGTTTCACTTTCTGCCTAATAATCTAAAAGTAATACTGCTCCACATATAGGTCAGGCAAACTAAAGCAATCTTTCAATGAGAGCAAGCATCATTCATTTTAATATATATGTATTTGCATCGTATATGTGGTATACAACGGCTTTATTTTAAGTAATAATGTCTCTGTGGGATGTTTTTAATTTTTGTTCTTTAGTAGCACAGGAACTGGTTCCTTTCTAATCAATTTTAGTAGTTCCTTCCAAACTGGTTTTTAGTGTTTATTGTGAATTTACCAGAATCTGCATGAAAATAAAACTGCAGTCATTGTCTTCTAGGCAGTGATTTGTAGGAGAAAAAGGAGAGCATTCTGTTACACTTACTGATACCAGAGCTAGCTGGGTGATTGCAGTGCGGGATCTTGACAGAGAGGTAGCAGCTCCATGCACTGCTGCTTCATCTGGGAAAGAACAATATCCAAGGAGCCTCTGACTAACAGAGAATAGATATTTTTCACCTCAACAAGAAGATGTGTTTTGGAGCAGGACAATCTGGTTCACAACCTTGCTGTCTCCAGTATGTTCTTTGTGTGCATGGTAGTAGCAGCACATAGGAGCACATCTAGACCACTCACCTATCCTCATCCACAGATGAGCAGTGAAATCTCTGAGTGCTGGAAAGCAGCAAAAGCATCCAGAGGATCATTCAGCTTCTAGCTCAGCTACTGTAAAAGGCAGTAAGTATGCCTCAGTCCCTGTTACAGCCAGCAGAGCCTATTCAGCCTTGCAGCTTACCATGCACATTGGTGGTGGAAAGAACTGAACAGCTGTAGGCTAAGCCTAGGCTCTGGACAGAGATCTTTATAGACTGCACTGGGAGCAGAGGCACTTGCTGATGTGTGGACACCTGGATCTGTAAGCTAACATCCTGTTCTTCGGAAGCTGCAGTGTGGGCAGGGTTGGTGCATCCAGACTGACTTCTCTCCTGTAGGCAAGCTTACCGGCTGAAGCCTGTGTTTCATAATGACTATACACACAGCATCCCTCTGCTACTCATTCAGGTGTCATAATTGCTGCTAACATATAAACAAAGGCATTAGAAAATAAGAAAAATAACATTAGGCCATTTATTCTTATAAGGACTAATTATAATGTCCACAACGGTTATTTAGCATCCAGTCCACTTCTCCTATGCTTTCTTCTGTATTTCCTCAATGTGTTCCTATAAACACAGTTTACAGAGGTATGAGGTCTGACACAGGGCCTCCCTCTAGAGGGTAGAGTTAATTTTTGTATTTGTGATTGTATTTTCCATTACATCTAACAGGACTAAAGGGTATTATTAGCTTATAAAGAAAAAACAAATATGTCAGGTCAAATTGCTGTTTTCATATTAAACCCTTACTAAAAAGAAAAAAAAAGAAAGAAAAAAAAGAAAGACAGAAAAATATTCTTGTGGAAGCAAAAGTCCTGGAATTTTCCACTTCTGGTTTAACACAGACTGAAAAGAAGATTCTATGCTTGTGGTTTAAATGGGATGAGGTTAATATGGCTTCCTGAAGGTAATCTCTTTCCACAGTGATAGGATGTAGTGCTTCTCTTTTTAATTAGAGAGGTGAGTGGGTTGGATCCCTAAAATTTAGTTTTGGGTTTGGGTGTGGATTTATAGACCTGCTCTCCCAGCAAAAGCTGAGACTGATTGTGTCTAGGCCCATCTTTTGAATTAATTTTCAGTAATTAGAGTGCAATGTGTGGGAGGGGGCTAAAATGAAATACAATTAAAATGTAATGTTCCTTGTATGGTATCCCCATTCTTATTCATTTTAAGCCATCTCCAATGCTCTGATGGGTTTAAGGCTTCCTGTATCACACACTGTGCAAGCAGAAATGTTTGAGTGAACTCTTGCCAATGGCTCTGAGCAAGCATGGGGCATGTTTCAGATTACACTGTGTGTGTTGTTCCGATTTGATCTCCTTGCTAGGAGAGGCTGAGAAAGGCCGCTCTAGGGGATTTACTTCCAGCAGCAGCAGCACATGATCCTTCAATCGCGTGATTCTCACCGCCGAGGTCTAATGGGGAGGGTGAAGAAAAAGCTCACGCTGCCTTTTGGAAGCAACAGCGGCGGCTTCTGCTCATAGGCCCCTCCGCCAGCTGGATGCTTCATGGCTTCTCCCAGGTTAGAAACCTACTGCTGCCCCAACAGGGATGCAGTCACGCAGCTTGTGATGAACTTCCAGCCCCAGGTCTTCTGTGGGGTCTGCATTGGCAGCGCCTCAGCCAGCCTGCTGCTGACCATCCTGCAGCTCCTGCCGAAGAAGGGGCAGAGCCTGCGGAAGATGCCCAAAGCCTCCTCCTCCTCCACCATTCTTCTCCTTATCTCCGTGTGTGACATCCTCGGTGGCTCAGGTAAGCGCCATCTTGGCGTTCCTTGCCTGTGCTGCAGCAGGCCCTGCCGGCAGATGGTTGGGAATGTGCTGCATGTTTTCAGGGGAAGGTTTGTGCTGAACAAGATGAGAAAAGGGCAGGCCTTGAGGGGAGAAAGGTCTTGCTTAATAGCTAAGTTTTAAAAGTAAAATTTTTTGGCAAATCTTCACCAAAGTCTCTACTTCAAATTAAAATCCTGCACTGGCTGGCGCTTAGAGGAAGGTGTAGAAGCAGAGGCGAGGGAGCACATGAATAACTAAAGCTGACTTCCACAACTTAGCTGATCCTTAGAACTGCATTTGGAAAATACTTGCACGTGTCTGTAAATCCTCTCAAACAGAGTGAGTGCCACTGTTCACATACCAACTCGAAACTGGACACAGCAGGCTGGCAGCATGGTTTGTAGAACTGCAGCTGTGCACAGCTCGAGCACTGTGCCGACATGGGGAAGCAGAGAAGCACCCTTAGCAGGGAGTCCTGCCTCCAGCAATGGGCTGTCTAAATCTGCCCTGGAATTTACTGCCAAGTTAGACAGAAATTACCATGACACATACAGGGGAAATAAAAGCTGAGTTTTTTCCACATTAGCGTCTTTTCTCTCTTGTTAGATAACTGAAGTAGTACTGTTGTGCAAGTCTCTCTGGCTGCCTGTGAAAGGAGTAGGGTTTTACACATTTTCCACTTTCACACCTAGCTAGGTCTTCTCATGGTATGTAAGAAGAACCAATATTAAAACAGACAATGGATGGGAAGATAGAGAAAGACATGGAAAGAGCACAGGAGCACCTGAAAAAGGGCCTTTCAGTCATAGAATCATAGACCCACAGAATCACGAAGGTTGAAAAAGACCTCCAAGATCATCTAGTCCAGCTGTCCACATACCACCAATATTTCCTCACTAAACCACGTCCCTCAGTACAACGCCTAAATGTTCCTTGAACACCTCCAGGGTCAGTGACTTCACCACCTCCCTGTGCAGCCCGTTCCAGTGCCTGACCACTGTTTCAGAGAATAATTTTTTCCTAATCTCAGTCAGATAAAGCCAGCAGCAGATAAAGTTATTTTTCTCCTTTTCTCTTTCACAGGCAAACAAAAAGTATTTATTTGCAATTGTTCTTGAATTAGATTCACCTTGGAGGGTGGGAAGCACGATGTGCTGGTTCTGTGTGTTGGTGCCTTAGGGCCTATTTTGAGCAAACCCACTAAATCTCAGCAGCAAACTGAGTCCATGCAAAAAATCAGTATTGTTCTTACCTAATAGTGAAACCATGCTTTTTTCAGCTCCTTGACAGAGAGGAAAAGAGCTGCTTGTAAAAATGAAGACAAAGAAAAATGTTAAATAACATTCTTCTAAAGTGAGGAGTTGTAGAGAAATGACTATTAGCAACATGAATATCTCCAAGTTAAATTGTAAGTCATTAGTTACTGGCAATACTGATATGTTAAATGCCTCTTGATTCCCTTTAGGGAAGTGTATGACAGTATCTGTAGATAAATGAGGTTTAGATCTTTGTGACATGACATGGCGAGTCCTCCAGGCTCACAGCTGCTTTCTGTGAGCCTGCACCCTGGCATCTGGCCTGCACTGCACACCCCGATAGCCACAGCCCTGTGAGCATAGAGAATCTAGGCCGCAATGCAGAACATGCGACCAGCGCAAGCATGTGACTGCCATCACACTGACAGGCACAGAGCACTCATGCGTTTCTCTTCAGGTGTGATCTTCAGATCGAGCGTCTGGTTGGGCTTCCCGAGCTTTGTTGCCAACATCTCAGTGGCCAATGGGACTGACGTGTGGCCCTCTGTCTTCTGCGTTGGCAGCGCGGTAGGTACAGGGGGACAGTCCTGCTTGCTTTGCTCACACAGGATCCAAAAAGTAACATACTGCATTCCAAAATGGGTTAGAATTTCCTTAAATCCCTGATGTGGATTCTGGATTAAGGAGCATAGAATAAGAAAATGTAAATGCATTACAGAAGTGTAAATTTTAAGTAATACAATCACACTATTGGAGGTATAAAATCTGAGCTTACTGTACAAGAAAAATGTCACTTTTTTTTTTTTTTAACTAAAACACAGATAATTATGCCAATTTCCTCAGCTCAGTAGGAATGTAGGGTAGCCAAAGAATTCACACATCAGCAATAATGGTAGTAGCTTAATAAATCAAGGCTTACAATATAGAAAAGAAATATGCTGGATATAAATAAAACTATTCAGCTCTTGTAGTTTTTAAATAAGATGTGCCAAAATGCAACTTGCTTTATTTCATATGCCTAAATAATGACAATTTCAGACATAATGGCAGAAGCGAGTATCAGCTGTACACACCTACCAGTTCTCAATTTTCCATCATACATGTTTAATTTTTGCTTATGAGATACAAGAGCTTATTTTTTTTTCTTAAAAGAAGGTGAAACCGCCAACATCAATATCTGCAGCAGGAATGCCCTGTTTGAAAACCACGTTTCCATATGGCTTAAGTTTCCGTTTCTGGCCCTTACCACAGAAAGTAATATTTTAAAGCAGTGACAGGGATGCTGTATGCAGACTGTTTGTTTTTCATTTTGATCTCAGGTTAAATGGCAAGCAGCGGAGCGGTCTACCACAATTTTTATTTTCCTTTCTTGGGCCAGGAAAGTGCGCAGTTTGAGTCACTTGCTAAGTTTAAATTTAATTATATTGGAATGAAAAATGACCCTACTTCCCCTAACATATTCTCGTGTGAGTTAATAAAATGTTTCTGGTTCTATTTTAGGTTTCTTCTGGTGCTATTGTTTTATTTCATTTACACACAAGTCAATGAAATTCCAAGTAGTGAGGCCCTGAAGCATCCCCTTCAAATGAGACCCTCTGATCTGTAGATGGATACTGTATAGCAAGACATGGCATTTTGCAAGAAGCTAGATAGCATATGAAAATTTTGGTTTTTAGGTGCATCTGCTTTTTATTATTCTTGGCAACTGTCTAGACTATGTTGGAATTTATGTGTGGAAAGACCTCATGGTTTATTTTTGTATGTATGTGTTTATATATAGTAAATTCTGCATTTCTTAACTGCAGCAAATATGTAATAGTGCAGATTAAGTTACATACTGAGCGCTGTGAATAAAGTGCAGTAGCAGGAAAACTGGAATTTTATTTTCTGTCTTATGTATTATTAAAATGTCTTAGCATTTTGATTAAATACTGAATAATTCATGTCACAAATGACTAGATGTAGGAACTGTACCCTTGTTGTAAGGAAGTATTTCCCAGCTTGATTTACCTTTGGAGGAAGGAATGGTAGAACTCAAGTCACTGATATCTGACTCAGTAACAAGTATGTTGGTTTCCAGGAGTAAAAGGATGCTACTATGGAGCTGTGACAAAGGATATTCAGATAAGAGCAGAAAGCAGGGCTCAAAGGGAAGGTAATCTGAATATTAAAATAGTCCCAGACCATTACAAATAGCCAGCTCCTGTCTGGAAAGGATTTGGAATTTATAAACAGGGTCTAAGAAAGGTCAGTTATCTTCTATAGGCTCATGGGAAAAATGTATAGGGTCAACTCAAAAATGCAGTGGAATTTAACTTGACTCGAACTTGTTTCCTTTGGATTTTTGTAAAAAAATTAGCTGTGGAGTTCAGTATGGACAGAGTTGGGTATTTTTCTGCATATCATCTTTATCAGTAGTAACACTAACTCAAGTTCTTGAATGTGGATAAAATACCCATCACACACAGAACACATGATACAGAGGCACACTGTGGTGAAGGCAGACCTCAGTTATATTTTCATGCCTCAGCTACTGAAAAATGAATTTTTACTAAAATATTATACCAATTTTTTAAAATAAAATGTTCATTACTAATCTTTAAAGTTAAAACGTGGTTGAATAATTTACTTTAGACTTAATTCGTGCCATTCAGGGCTAAGACTGGAGATGTAAACAAACACCAGGTTTTCTAAACAACTCAACAAGCTGTGAAGGCAAACTGCTCAGATCACCTAGGAGCAGATCCTTTGGCTACAGCAATACTGCAGTAAGAATTCATACCTCACAAATCTCAGTTGGAAAATGCACACATTTAAAGAACAAATCCCCAGGCAAAAGGTTTGAGTCTCCCCTCACTTCCAGCAGTGTTTAAGAAGCAGCTGTGACATTTGCCTTTTTTTTCCTTGCAGATGTGGATCCAGCTGTTCTATAGTGCTGGCTTCTGGTGGTTATTTTGCTATGCTGTCGATTCTTACTTGGTGGTTAGAAGATCAGCGGGACTGAGGTACTAGAATTAAAGCTCTGAATGTCCTATTTTACTTCTCATGCTGTATATCCATGTTTGCATGTAGCTATCTGAGGGTATAAACGAAGTCTGTGCGAACATGTGATGTTCGCATAGTTACCAGATAATGATCTGTGTGAGTGGTGTTCTAAGTGCTTCAATTGCCAGGGCAATGCTTGGATATTGATTTGCTTGTGCTCAACTAGCATTTAAATGTAACTGAATTTATTTAACTTTCAGAAAAGTAGGGTGCAGATTGGGCTTTATAACACTATTGCAACAAGATGCTATTTTTATCTCTGCTCTGTACTTGATATTGATTTTTGTGGCAGAAGTGTTATCATTAATATAAAACAGCAATGAAAGATTTTTTAAGCACAGAGGTATGATCCTCTCTCAGATGGGAGCAGTGGCTGACTCTCCAAGTCAAACAGTTCTCTGCAGCCTTCAGAAAGGTGCTTGGTTGGCGGTTTGGCTCCCTTCTTCTGTTTTCAATTCCTGAAATGTGCTGTCTGCAGGAGCAGTGAAGGACGCAGGGTTTCCTTCTGCAGATGTGGGAACAGGGGAGAGACTTCTGGCCTCTGGTTGGAGGGTATGACACTTCTGTGTGCAAGCCTGCCCAGCCACCAGGATTTCTCTTTTTTTCTGAAAGGCCCCTATCCCTCCTGCCCTCCTCAGTGTGCTGCTAGCATTATTCACCTCACGCCTGTCCTATGATAACACTGCCATGTGAGAGTTAATGTCTTTAATAACCTCTGTCCTGCTTTCTCCTCCAGTACAATTGTGCTGTACCATATGATGGCCTGGGGGCTGGCAGTTTTGCTCTGCGTGGAGGGCGTTGCGCTGCTTTACTACCCGTCCATTTCCAGGTGAGCAGGCCTCTGGAAGCAGACTCCAAAACCCTGGTACTCTGTGGTCATTTGGATGTCTTTTCATCAATGTTAGAAACAAACATCCAAATACTGTTTTTTTCATTTTTTTTTTAATCTTTGAGTAGTGTCTCCTATTGATTCCATACATCCTGGGTTTCAGAGGGCCCTGAAGATATCTCCCAGACATTTCATGTGCTGCGATGCATTTCAGTGCTGTGGTGCAGCTCCTGCTGTGAGCCACTGCAGGGTTATGAGGCCCAGGGAGGTGACATAGTGCATAGGGCTGCTGCAGGCATGAAATACTGGTCCATTCCTGTTCTTCTGCTCCTGGTTTCAGCTTTGTATTTACTCCTTTAAATTTGAGGAAAAGTCACAGATGGTGCGAGTTAATAATCAACTTTGTGTCCCGTGTGAATTGGTTGTGAAGATTTGTGAATTAAAAGTTTAGCACCTGTTTGTTTAATTCCTTTCATGTTTGTTTTTTTTGTTTGTTTTTGGCTTTAGTTAAATGTGACAATGATGAAATAGCTGAGACTGTCAGATGTGGAAAGAAAATAATGAATAATGTGTTAATAATTTTTTCTCAGCTGTGAAAGAGGCCTGGAGCACGCAATCCCACATTACATCACAACCTATGCCCCACTCCTGCTGGTGCTGGTGGTCAACCCAGTCCTGTTCAGAAGAACAGTGACTGCAGGTATGTTCCTAATGGCCAGCATGAATGCATACATCTTATTTAGCAAAACAGAAATAAAAGTAAAGTAGAAGTAAAAAGTAATGCCTGTGTATCTAAGGATGTAGGATAGCTCCTCATTAAATCAAAATGGATGCAGCTGAGGGTAGAGTATATAGTATCTTCTATATGATACTGTATAAATACCAAAATGAAGATACTATCTCAATAGAAAATTTGCCTTAGAGGTACACTGATCACATACTGAAGTTATGCTGTTTTAGATCTCTACTATTGCAGACTGGCAAAGTTATTTCTGTTACTAAATTACTTTTTATTTAAAGTATTTTTGGCAGCGTATGGTGGATATATGATGGTACTATAATATTGGTACCAACGTATATTTTGGAATGCAGTTAATTCCTTTTTAAGGATAACGTTGGTGATATTCAATAGTTGGTTTAACTTCTTTGAAGCTGAGAATTAAAAAGGAATCAGAATTTTGTTACTCCTGATTCTGAGATTATGAAACTAGTGAGAATTGTACACAATTCAGCTGAGATCCTGAAAGTCCTGTTTGATTTAGTATCCGGCACTTTGAAGAAATGTGACTGGAAAAAAAGGAACAAGTTCAATGAATTCTTTTAATGTAACATGATCAGTGCTAAATGTTTTCAGTGCCTGAATTCATACTTATAATCTATACATTCAATATTTAAGAACAGCATCAGAAGAGACTGTGTTTTGAGTTCAGCCTTCATCCCATCTGCACTGCATTCTTCAGTAATGCCCATCATCAAAGGAATAGCTGACAAAATCCATGGAGTATTTTTCAAATATATTTTATATGTAGAATATCTGCCTATTTTTGCTGATGTTACGCTGCCAAGTTTTACAGGTGTAGACAACACTGTACCAATTGCATACTGAAATACAACTAATTACATTTATTGAGGTACCTTCTATTTTTTTTCCACTTATCTCAGAGTCCCAGAGTGTTACATACTTAGTACAAAAGACAAACCGTATTTCATCATTGTATTATCTGTCTTGTAACCTGCATTTCTGAGATAGCACTCAGCAAGCCTCTCTCTAATTTATACAGGATAATGGGTTTTGTTTTTTTGTATTTTAGTTTAGAATAATATCTCTATGCATGAGCAAACAGAAAACAAGTGTTACCTTCAAAGGCTGGGACCAAAATGCTCTATAGGGAAAAGATAAGCTTTAGCCTAAATTTTAAATAATCAAAAATACCTGTAACTGATGTTTTGCAGTCTCTAAAAACAGTCAGTAAGCTGACTCCTCCACTCTGCATTAGCTGCTATATTTGTGTGGGTTGAAGGCATAGACTTTCTTTGAACGTATTGAAATCAGTAGTTTAGTAAACGGTAAACTTACCTTCTTTAGCATGTCCTGTAGAAGTCAGGACATTTTCTACAGACAGCAGGAAAGGTCTTCAATGAGAACATAAATAATAATGTATGTGTGCATTTTGTAGGTATGTGCACATATATTCATATGCCTCTGGCAGACTGTGTGGCTAAAGTACCTACTGTACAGCTACTTTAATATTTGTGTCTATATCACCTCTGCTACCTGCTCATGTAGGCACTAAGGATCAAATTTTGTTTCATACTTTTAGAAATACATGTCGCTAAAGATGATGTCTTGTGTCTCCTTGTTCTGAAGTCTTGCAAGCATGGTTTTCTCAAACATCCTGCAGTTTCTCTTCGCTGTCTAATGAAAGTGGTGAAGAAAAGCAACACGGGAACAACAACAAGAAAAAAAACATTTACATAACGAGATCTGTAGAATGTAATGAAGTGGGAATTTAGCTGTTTCTTAACAGAATTTCTCCTTGGCTGTAGAGAATAGTAAAAGAAGCACTGAGCTTCAGCTTTAAGAAAGGATGTTGAAGTAGTAAGGGAGCAAAAAATGTTAAGGACAGATGGAGTACTAGAATTGCTTGGCTGAGGAATTCTTTGTGTGTTCCTGATTTTTCAGCAAGTTTGCTGAGGCTGTGAACAGCCATACCTAAATATAATTGCAGTGTTTAGGGGCTGAGAATGAATTGGATAATCTCTCAAAGTTTGTTCCTTTTATGGAAAAATACACAATGAGTATATTTGTGTTAGTACATATGTTGATTCCTTGATATCTGAACAGTATGTTTCTTATCTGTCTATTTTTGTTGGTGTCACAGTTTCAGGTTCTAGAGATGTAGTAGCCAATTATGTCTTTATGGCACAATTACATATGAAGTGTATAATAGCATTAACTGTATTTTGTCTTAGTCTGAACATCACATAGTAAATACTTCCTTACATCACAAACATCATAGAGAAGCGTAAGCACTACCTTTTTGTTAACGAATTGTGCTGACCATACTATTTTCTGTTTTCAATGGGACTGAGAGAAGAAAAAACTGCTAGTGGGATACCACCTACTTCAGGAATCCTTAGTGGATGTCCTTTTCCTTTAGGATTAGGCTATGTATGAGATTTGCTGCTGGAGACAAACCCATTGGTTCCTTTGTTCCCTCTTTACAGACATCTGTTTTCTGTATCCTTGTATCTACAAATAATGAGATGTACGTATATTAATGAACACAACTTTATACTTTCCAGTTGCCTCTTTACTGAAAGGGAGACAAGGGATTTACACAGAGAATGAGAGACGGCTGGGGACAGAGATCCAGATGCGCTTTTTCAAAATTATGCTGGTATTCATTGTTTGGTAAGAGGTGCATTTTGTTTTAACCTGCCTTTTCCCAGATGAAAACAACTGGGACAAGAACAGAATCTGATGGGTTACTTCATTTGCTTGTTCTTATGGTTGGAAGGGAAAGTTTCTAAGGAAGACTACTCTAAACTAGTTCACATATTAGCTGAATCACTCACAAGGCTGCAAGGAAATGATAAAAATGTTTAACCAACAGGAAAACAATGACACTGAGAAACAATAGCAAAAAACAAACAAACAAACAAACAAACAAAAAACTGGATACAACCTAAAGCTGTATGAAACTGCAGCAAGATTCCCTAGAGCTCACTCTACATTCTTGTCATCAAATATGCCATTGAAAACTTACAGTAAACACAATTCTAGGGCATACTTGGGGCTCTGATTATGATTATATGATGCATCATCTCTATAGTCTGCAGATCTCAAGTGTGTGAAACAAGTATAGAGTGTTGCCTGGAAATACAGACACACCAGAAAGGAAATCTCTGTGTGTTGTGTGTGAAATTTCTCATCATCTGATCTTTTTTCTGAAATTCCACCTTCCTCCACGAAAATAGCAGTTTGTGGTAGGGCAGGGAGAGGAGGAAGAAAGGCACAAGGAAGAGGGAGGGTGGAAGGAAGGAGGGAGGGTGCCTCATACCTCATTCCCAAATCCCCTGCACCTCTGTTCTAGCAGCACCATCCAGTATGAAAGATGCTGTAGTGGTGGATGGGACTGAAGGTGCTGGATGCACTCAGCAAAACTGAGAGAACTGAAAGAAGCCCTGCTTTAGGAGCAGTCTTGCAATCATCACACAATAGTAAAGGCACCAGATGAGGGAGCGATCCATGTTACATGGGTCTCCGAGGTGAGCTAACAAGATGTAGTCACTGCTGAAAAGTGTTCACCTACGTGGATAACACAAGCAAGGGAAAGAGGAAGGAAGCAGCCTAGAAGTAGTGAAAAGATGGCCGAATTTCACAGTTTGTGCAAGTATTTGATTGTTTCATACATGGGTACATTAATGCATGTTTCATTGCTTTAAAAGGCTGAACAGGGAGAAAGGCTGCTTTTTATTTTGTCCTTGCTGCTGTATATTTAAGTGCTCTGGAGGGAAACTATGGTCATTTCTCAGGAAACAAGTTTCTTCTGGGAAGGGTGGGTGGGGTAGCCAGTGGGAGCAGGGACACCGACAGTAGCAAAGCAGCCTGAAGCATGGCATGCTGGAAATTGCTGTAAATAACAGGGAGCAGAGTTTTATCCAGGCTTCTAGGGTTACAGAAAGAAAAGCACATTGTACTGGAGGCACCACAGAAGTGCATTACAACCTAAGGGACTGTGGTCAGCTTGCTAGTCTGGGAGCAAACATGAAAGAAAGGAGCAACTCCTCATAGACACAGTGGCTTGACTGCTTATTTCCTTTTTGTCTCATTATGAGTTTTCCTCATAGCAAAACAAAACAGCCGAACAAACACAACACATGGTTCTAGTTTTTTGGTTTTTTTTTTTTTTTTCTTTTTAATCTGCTGATAAAACATAAGCTTTAGTAAAAACTCAACTGGTTACTGAACTGAAAGTCTGAGACAATACCATCTTAGAAGCTTAGGGGAGATGCTCTTCCATCCCAGAGGTCAAAAAAGGAGATGAATTCGCCAAGGAAATTTTGGGCAACATAGCGTAGAAGAGAAACCTGTATATTTGGGAGGGATGAGCAGAAGATTTTAGACTGTGAAAAAAACATAGGATCTGTGTAAACATCTTCAGAAAATATGATATGGATGTTGGTCATTTCCTTCCTGAAGTACCTGTAGAAATATGCAGAAAAGCTGTTCTGACTGCTTAGGAGTCATTAGAAATTGGAATCCTTAACTGTAACTTTTAGTTAATGTATCATATTCTCATTTTCTCTTGGAGGATGGGGTTTAATTATGCTCATCCTACTTTAGAAAAAGAAATTACCTTTATTCTTAAAATGTAATGTCATTTTCAAGGACTTTAAAGTCAAATTTAGTTTTGATCTGTCGATTTTTTTAATAAACATTTCGAAAATCTACTCAAATATCACCCTGAAATTATAGAGATGCTGGAGTTTATACAGTCTCTTGTAGTGTATATGCATATGTTTGTATTCCTTTAACTGTGAGTATTATACATTCAGGACACAAGCAAAAGAAGTCACTGTCCATAATGTTCCCATTGTAGATCACAGTTGTTCATAATCTCAGTGCAATAAGCTCACATGATCAGGTTTAATTCTGTTTGGGATTTCTTTGTCTACTGGGAAGTAAGAGTCTGTTTTCTGATCATAAGCTCAGGGAGAGCTATGGGTCCCTTCACACTGAGACTTAATGTTAAAAAAAAAAAATCTCCTTATTAAGGTTCCTAACTTCTATAATTTGTAAGTAATTTGTATTTTACATATACCTACATATCTACATATCAGTGTTTTGTTCTCTTTGTCTTTTTTATTCCTGCAATAGTTGGTCATCTAATATCATCAATGAGAGCCTTTTGTTCTATCTCGAAATGCAGCCAGATATCAATGAAACACCTTTGAAAAACATTAGAAGTGCTGCACTGATCACATGGATTATAATGGTAGGTCAACCATGGTATCTCTTAGTCTTTGAAATCACTTCTGTAAGACTCATGGAGCAGCACCAGTGTGTGGGTTTTGGGGAAAAGCTCAGAAAATCAGGGAAGAAAAGTCAAAGGTAAGAGAAAGGAAGGAGAGGTCATTTGGAACATACAAATTTTTTCTTAAAAGGTACCAAAGGCCAAGATTTTCTCCCATTTACAGGAGTATGCAATGAGTGATTGCTACCCATTTTAAGATCCAGAACAGACCATTGCAATGATTTATGGTCTACCTTTTCTAACCTCTATCATAAGACAAGCTGTGAATTTCAGCTCACGTTTCTTGAAGATCTGCCCAAAAAATGGGCATTATTCGATAATAGTCTGTTTGTAGCTACAGTTTTCTTTATTAGTGACTTATAAGAAATAATAACATCTTGTAAAATTTGGACAGCTATTAGGGGAAAATACATGATGGAATTTAAAAGCAACACACCAGAATATAGCGATAAGATTCTGGGGTATTCCTGTACTCCACCCTTTTCTCTCTTTCTGTTGGAATATTTGACAAGGGATTTTACAGAGGTGATACTGCAGGTTCCTTTTTCAAGAAGGTTTATTCTCAAGCTGTTAAATACCTGTGAGGTCTGAACATGCTCTGTGCACTTAAGCTCTTGAGCTTCCTGATATTGGAAAGTTAAGCAATGCAACTGATTTGTTGCAGCCTTCTCCCTGACAAGGACTGGACATGTTCTTGTGACAGGGACCTTACTCTTGCTCACTGGGAGAGCACACGGTCTGCTCTACCAACTGAGCTATTATTTAAACTGGCTGTAAAAAAGTCATGATTTTCCCGAGAGAAGAAAGATAACCACTAAAACCATTTACTTGTCACACATCCTGAAGCAGTGGAAACAGAAGATTTTTTGGAAATCACTTGGGATTTTTTTTTTTCAGTGTCTCTCCCTGGTTTTGCATTCTGCTTTGATGGACATTTTCACTGGCTTAGAAATCTGCAGCAATTCCAGACAGTTCAATTACTGCTATTTTTAAAAAATTGCCTGGATGTGCTAATGTCTATTCTCAAAGATTTGACTTGGCTTCTAGTGAAGAGTACAATGTTTGCTTTTCTGAATTAAAAAATGTGGAGCTTGTAAAGAATGTTGAAAACACACTGGGGGTTGACCAGCTAAAATTCATGCTGGAAAACCATTTGGTGCCTGCTGTTCACAAGGAACACCTTAGCGTTCAAAAACAATGTAGTTTCTCATTCTGCTTTGTTTGTGTCTGCAGTAGAAAAATGTACACTTTTATTTGCATGCACTTATCATCTTCTAAAGACAGCAGTTGTTCGGAGTAAGGGAAGTTGTTAATGCATGCAGAACGTTTTGCTGGAATTGAGAATGAAGCCTTGCTGATGTAACTTGTGTTGCGCTGCTCTTTTCTAGGGGATTCTTAATCCAATGCAAGGCTTCCTTTTCACATTAGCTTTCTATGGCTGGACAGGATGGAGAGTGGACCTGAAATGGCAGAAGAGAGAAATACCCTGGGAATCAATGTCCTCATCAACAGTGGGTGACAATGACTATCCCTCACCAGTGAACTACCCAAGCAATGTCCATGATTCAAAGAAGATATCGTCCACTGATAGCCAGCAGACTGATGAGGCTATAAGCATGTTGTCTGAAGGTAACACTAGCGGTGATGACAGGTTGACCAGGAGCTCTCCCATCTACCAGGGCTGGTAACTTGTAGGTGGAGAGCTGAATCTCACTTCTCCCATTGTCAAGACTCACAAAACCATGGCACTGTGTGAATCATTGCTCATTCTGAAATTTGGTTTGTGCCTGATGGCTCAGTTTAATTTCCTGTAGCTTTTGTTCATGTGTGAGACTGTGTAAGATGCAGAGAAATGATGGTTAATGTCTTCACTTGCTTTATAAGAGATGTGTAGCAAGGTACAAAGGCCTGATTGCTTTTAGCAGGAGTGTGTCTCTGCAGGGATCTACATTACTTATGATTCATCTGTTTTCTTTCAATCTCTCCTGTAACCTCCGTATGGTAGAAGAGTCTTTTGTTTAAATAAACGAACTATTAATATGTTGGTTTTTTAAATGTGTTCCCTTGCTTGCCTTGCTCAGCATAAAATTCCCAGAATTACAGCTCTGAGACACAACTTCCACCTTGATACTCTAGTAAAACATGAGTGACAGCAAACTCGACCATAAGGACAGATTTCCCTGCTTGCAGAATTTCACTGTCAAAGCCTTCTTTTAGCTTGTTTATGTTAATTTTCAGCTTGCTTTTATCTAGGGAGTTGAATGTGTTTTAAAAGAAATTCAGACATGAATTGGAGCTGAGGCTCCAAGAAGGTTTCAGAATAAGGGCACCTGTTCTGCTGGTTCAAGAAAAAAACAGCTCTTCAGATTATTTTTTCAATTTGAATTCAGTTTGATCCTTATATATAACTGTCTAACAGGATTATGACTGATAGTTGCATTAAGAGAGAATATTTGCAAAGAACATTGAGATGATCTGAGTGGTCATCAGAAAAGAATGAATAGAATCAATAGTTCTTTCTCATCAAAATAGAATGAATGGAATTGGTAGTTCTTGCTCTGACATGTACTCTATTTTATGCCTTCAAGTTGCAGAATGGCAGAATGGAGAGATATCACATCTACTCCTCAGGTACAGATCTCAGTTTGTACAGTGCACTAAGTACCCAAACAATTCCCAAACTTGGTTGGAAAAAAAAAAAAGATGATGATGTCTCCCCCAGGCTTTTAACCTCATATCAAAGTTAGAAATGACATGGCTAACTGGAAGCTGTTTACCAAACAACGTGACCGGCAGTTCATTAAAAGCCTCTCATCCTCAGCTAACCTCTCTCCCTTCCTTCCGTATGTGGCCAGGTCTGGTCATAAAGCAAAATTTACTCTCTAAATCCTGTTACATCTGCTCTGACTGAACTTCAAGGCTGTCCACACCTTTCTTTTCAAACCCAGTTCAGTCTCAGCTGTTGTAACAAAAAACAGAGCAAATACAGCCTGAAAGACAGCTGAAAGGCTAGAGCAATTGTAGCACGAAGTCTAAGCTGCGGTGTTACTCAGGAAAATCCCAGGATGGTTAGAGAAGCAGAGTTGGTAGAAATTATACAGTAAAATATTGATTCACTGTTTAAAATAAATTGCCTTCTTGAATTAATCATTTAAAATGAAGGTGTGAAACAATGAACTGGTAATTATTTGGGCAGGTCATTATAGAACTGTTGTTGGTTTGTAGCAAATCATTTAAATTGTGCCCTGTGGAAACCTTTGTGGTTTTATAGCTTTACATTCATGTTTTAGTTGTCAGAAATACTGGCAGATCACCAAATCTTCATTCTTAAGCAGGTTCAGTATTTTCCCTAGAAATTCTGTTCCTCTGCCTATACGGTAATTTCTTTTCTAGCTAAAAGTGTGGAGAGAAAGCACAGGGACTTGGGAAGCAGAGCATGCTGATCTTTATGAAACAGAGACACATTTTCTGTGCAAGACTCATCAAAGTATGGTTTAAAAGAGCAGGAAAAAGGCGGAGCTGGAATTGTTGGTAAGCCTTTTCAGATGCTAGGGTGTGGGCCAAGCTACCAAACCCGAAAACCAAATAAACAGCCTCTGGCTTCATGGGAAGAATCCTGTGACACACAAGCACTCGGGAGAGGCCCTGCCATGGGGATGAACAGCTGGTATGTTCAGTCCTTCATTTTGCTGCTGCAGGGTATATGGGGCACAAGGAGAGACATGGCACCCACCCCTGGGCAGTGCTTTGTTCCTTGCCTTTTTTTGGCCTTTCAAGGCTGTCCTTGAGACAACAATCTACTAGGGTGTCATGAAAGATTAGGGCTCATTCAAGTACTGAAGACAGACAACTAATCATAGTCTGCTACATTGAGATCTTGATATAGGGGCACAGCAGAGCAAAGCCCTGGCATTTTCATGACATAAAAGAAATGGGTGTTGGGAGAGTTTTCCTATCTGCTGCTCCCAACTTCTTGTGGATATACATGAGGTATGCATTCCTCCACAGCTTAACATGAAATGATAATCAATTCTGCTCAGTTGCAACCATGTGTGATTTAATCCCACACAAACCTTGTTCTTGCCTCGCCATATAACAATGTAAGAAAAGCATTGCCTTCTCCAAGCTTTACAGAGTTGCCTGTTTCTTCCCATCTGAAATCTACTTTCAAGGTAAACCTCCTGATTTCCCTCCTAACTATGCTATATTGTGGATCAGCCTCCCATGTTTACTTTTGGGCAAAATGAAGTGCCTGCTCCAAGAGTCAGCGAGGGCACACTGCTACAGACGCTGTGACCTGTACAACTTAGCTATAACAGCAACCCAAGTACTACCTTCTTAAGTGTAATCTCTGCTGATAGGAGCTTTGTGGTTAACATTTTTCCTGTAGATGATGTGGTGGTACAAAGGGTTGCTTCAAAGCTGCTTTACATTAGGAGTGTACTGGCAGGCTGCTTCCACTGTCTGTGGGAAGTGCTTGGCTCTGGCCTGGATATTTGTTTTCTAAGCTGTGTTTCAAATATGGCTTGGATTACAGGGGAATGATCTTGTCAATACTAAAGTCAATAGATGCATGCAGAGTCTAAATCTGTGGTCTTAACTGCACCTCATCTGTGGGATCAGCTTCCTCTGTTATCATGTCTCATCCATTTATGAGCAGGAACAGAGATGCAGCAGAGTGCGACTCAAGAGAGAAGTAAATAGGGAATGAGATAAGAAACTGTCTCATAAAATGTTTGAAGCTGAACTATTATGTTTTGGGAGCGGAGAGATGGTCAATTTCAGTTTATTATGTCTATTTTGGACATATATGAGCACAACAAACACCTTCATTTGTTCAGTGAAGAAAAGCTGTATTTTTTCTTTAAAGCTGAATCTGTGCACTGAAATAAAATTGTGCTAGTAGAATCTCATAAAAAGGATATTTATGCCCACAAGGCAGTGCAGCTGAATTGCCTCTATTTAACACTCTCCTCAACTCCCAACTAGCTTCTCAAATCCAACCATATATATGAGGCGTTCTCTGTATTGCCCAAAAGTTATTTTTAAGCTCTTGAAGATCAGAAGAGAACTTCAAGGAAAGGCATCCTTGTACATCCTGTAACACTCTTGTAAACACCCCTTCCTTTTCTCTGTAGGTGGAAATGGATGTATGAGCCTATATGTGACCTGTGAGTATTCTACTATTACTGTTTATACGGTCAGATGTTCAGTCTAATTGCAAATACAAGCTACTAAATAATAAACTTCTTGAATAGGCAGACTTGTTGCATACCAAAGCTCTGCATTTTGAAGCCAAACGTACTGTCTGAATACCAAACACCTAGCTACATCTCTCATTAAGCCCTTCCTCTGGCCTTGTAGACCAAATAGATGTGGAAAAACTGGAAAGTGAAATGCTAAACATATTTTTTCTCTTCCCTGTATAACAGGGTTTGACTTCAGAAATTGTCATCAATGTATATTCATGGAAAAATGTATGCCATCTTCTACAATTCTCTCAATTTTCACAGATTCCTCAAGTCTGTGGTATTTCCAGGTGGAAAGCACTAAACCACACAATAGTTAATGTAAAGAAAGATCAAATAATATCTGGGTCATTTATCCATTAAGCATGTATCTGCGTGAACATTGAAGTTGGCAGCTGAAGAAGATGCAGACTTACTGAGAAAGAAAATAGTGAGCACAGTCAGATCCAGGGATGATTTGTATCTGTTTTGCTGTGTGGTTTATATTCCCGGAAGACTGCTGTCAGTTGTGTGGAAAGTTGGTTTACTCATTCTTCCCTTTTAAACAAACTCCCAAACACTGTGAGAGTTAACTCTGTACGTATTTGTAGGTAAGATTTTCAAAAGCTGAAAAAATTCATTGAGTGACAGAAACATCACTCAGAACAAAAGACCAAAGCAATATAGAGCACTTTCTTCCTCACAGCTGACAATGGGTATTTCCAGCTCTTCCAACCACTGCACTCTCATACTACACAAGATTGAAGGAGTTCTAGAAAAGAAACCCAGCCATTCCACCTGGAAAGAAAAAATATTGTGACCATCCCCAGACCTTTGGCAACCTCATGATTTAGACTGTGTTCTCAGGTACTCTTCCCTTGCCTCCTCCTAGGTTTGTTTCAGTACATCATACAGCAAGAACCTGCTTGCTGAGCTGTGAACTTTCATAGTACAGTCTACAGGGAGTGCTAGCAGGTGCTGGGACATATTTCTGTGTGCTGTGTGATTGAAAGACCTGACGATGCTTTGAGTCAACTGATGGCATCCTCAGAGCAAGGGCTGAAAAGCAGTAGGAAATGGGTGACCTCACCCATGGAGCTGTTTGTGCAACACAGAGGAAACTTCTGTAGGGTGTGAAGGTGGCATCCACACATAGAAAAGCACATGTTTAGAACCCTGGAAATGAGGCTTCTCTGCATTTTTGCGGGAATGATTATTTTGTGGTTAGTGGATGATGAAACAAAATAACTTTGATGGGCTCCTTCAGTGCCTTGTGTGTCATGTTTATTCTCTCAAACTAGTATGGGATGAGGCACATTCAGGCCAATTCTATTTATTGGGACAGTAATTAATGTGACCACTTGGTGACTCCAAAATGTTGTTAGCTATATCTGCTTCTCCAGGACTGCATGGCCAATGCTACATTTCTCTCATTTTTTCTTTCAAAAAATGCACCCTGTACAGGAAGAATGACAGGTAAAAATGCAAAATTACATTAGAGGGCTTCTAGAAATCAGTGTCTGTTAGTTATCTGTATTATGGTTGGGACCTTCTGTGCCTAAATGACTGTCATACCCTTAGTTTTAGAGAAAACATTTATCTAGGAAGTTGGGGCTAAGTTGGAGCTGGAGTTTGGCTAGGTGAAAGCCAGGAACTGAAGTGAATGTTGCAGTCAGAGTAGCTTAAATGTGTAGGAAATAGGAATGCCAGCTTGTGTAGGAGTTTACGCAGGACATGTTTTTTGAAGTTAATAGGAACTGTGGATAATGAAAGAGA